GTCTGCCCGATCCTCACCAATCCGCTTTTCCTCTCACACGTGAGTCCGAGAAACGGTTATTTTCAGTGCCATAGACATGATAAGGGATAAGAAGGGATAAGAAAGGAGTGCCTCTGAGCATGTGCCAAGTGCCTTTCTCTGGCCTATGGACTCCACACACCAGGGTTTCTAAGCCGGGGGAGGGGGCTACCTTGCAGGAGGGTCAGTGGATCCCGGGCATCTGTTATTTGTCCTGGAAATTGCTCAGGGCGAAACGCCCCGTCAGTCCTAAATTAGAGTTAGACCCGTTGGGACTTGTTAGTGATAAGGGACCATAAATACAGTACCCTTCCTCTCAATTCGTTTGCGATAGTCGGGACTAAGAGCGGATTGGGCTCATGGGCTGTCTGATCATCTGTGACGAAGCCTTAGCGGAACAGCCTCCGGTTTAGTTATACTGTACTCGGTGAGACGGGGAAACGTCTGGTTGGAATTTCACCTCCCCCGACGACATACTGTACTCCCTGAACTATCGATAAAACCTTGGGGCACAGCCTGAAGAGGATGAATAACGACATACTCCCTGAACTATCGATAAGACCTTGGGGCACAGCCTGAAGAGGATGAATTACCATAGAAAGCTAGCTGTTGGCTTGATTTTTCGGGGGTCTAAAAAAAAACGGATCCGCTGGCTGGATAGCTCAGTCGTTTAGGTCTCCTGTTGTGGAGCCAGAGGTTGGTAGTTCGATTCCCCAGTGGGAGAAGAGCCAGCCTGTGGAGCCTTGGGCAAGCTGCGCCGACCCAGAACATCCCCAGAAGAAGAGAAAGGGAAACCACTTCTTAGTAATCTCTATCTGGGAAACTCTCTAAGCCATAAGTCAGAAGTGACTTAGGTATTGTCTTAGGTATTGGCCTCCTTTCTCCCAACAACGGAACTCAAGGCGGCTCAGAGTTTTAGCAAGAACTAAAAATACAATAACGTATACTTTGAAAAACACTTAAATTATAAAAGGTTGACCTGCTCTTGCCTTTATACTATTTTGGAGACCACACGGCCTTTTCCTAATATTTTCACTCACTTAGATGTGTCTGCATTTTGCGCAAGATCGGCACAGCATTTTCTCCCCGCTCCTTCCCTGCTAGATGTTCAGCTCTTCTCTCCGTCCCTACCACACCTCCTTTTTCTGCGATCCACAGGGACCAAAATCATGTTTTGCTTACCCTTCCGGCTTTGCTGGGATCCCGCAGGGGAGACACCGAACCTTTCCCCAGCTGGAAAAGTCTCTCCCACCCCTTTGCCCTCCCTGCTATCCCATAATAACCTGCTCCTGAGGTAGGCACCTGCTCAGCTTAGGTACAAAGGACATTTCTTTCGATGGACAAGCGACTTCGGTTGATATTTTGGGTAAGGTATGGAAAAGGGTTCCGCCTCTTGGCGCAGATTGAACCAGCCAGTATTTAATCAACAAATAGTTAATCAGCCGCTCCTCTCTCTTCCACCCTTGGGTGAAATTTTCCTGCCAGGTCCCCTTGAAAGGAGATTTTCCACCTTGCTGAAAAGCAGAAAGAAATTTTCTTTTCCTTTTCTTCGAAAGCCAGGAATAGAAAGCTGTCTTGTTGCACTTGACGCTGAAATTGACATGCCTCCGCCTTGAAATTGACAGGCACACTTGTCAATGGCTAGAAAGTTTATTGTTCCCTCTGGAGAGAATCTGGGTGCTCAGATCTCTTACCTTTTCACCCCGGCTGGAAACTGAACGCTAAGCCTGCTTCCTAATGGAGGGGCGATTTGGTCCGGGGAGATGAGACGCCATAGATCAAAGCCTCCCTATCTCCGGGAAGTCTATGCTTCTTTGTAATGGAGTCATTTCACACGTCTAGCTATTACTCACCAAACGTAAAGTAACTTGGAACTGGGCGTGCGTGTGTGAGCCAGCTGCGTCTGGGCTGCTATAAATGAAAAACAGATTAATTTTTTTTAAAAAAATAAAATAAAGACAACTCTCTGATGAAACGCTGGCTCTCATCAAAGCGAGCTCACCTCCAGCTCCTCAAATTTACCAATTTTTAAACTTTTGGGAGCAAAGTTTTCTTGTTATTGTTACAGTGTATAAGATTAAATCTCCGTGCATTTGTTTCGGTTTTAATTTGGGTTCCTCCTCTCTGTTGTTGCCACTGTCAACCAAGTGCCTCAAATATCGGTTGGATTTCTTTTTCCTCTTACCAATATTTTATTTATTATTTTATTGCAGGATTTTCTGGTTCAACCCTGCGCGGCCAAACCGACGAGATCCGTACGGCTTTACGCGAAAGGACGTCCCATTGAGTTCAATCGCGCTCCCGGAATCCCATGCCTTTTTTTTTTAACCTGGGAATGAACCGGACTAAACTCAAGAGGAGTTAAACCTCATTAGGATCGCGCCATTCCCGACTGAAATGGACGTTAAACTGCCCTATAAAAAACCTGGCGTAGGCCGGTTTGTGCGTGGAGGCGTTTAATAATGTAGCTAACATCTTGTGTAGGACGACCAGCGGGGAGGGGGGGGGGAACCTCACGATTTAGTATAATAAATAATTTCTCATTGGTCAGAGCTCTGCTGATGACGGCAGATATGGGGAATCCCTCTATATGTGGAAGAGGGTGGTATGGAAAATGGAATAATAATAGCAGAAACCCAAGATTATCTTAGAAATAAATAAATAGAGCTGAATTCACCCTTCCGTTCGGTTTGGACGCTTCTGTGGATTACTTAAGGCAGAACTTGCTGCTAATTGTATGCAATTAACTTGCTGTTAATTGTATGAAAAGACATTTTCATCAAGGAAAACTGAAGTGCTTAGTATTCGGTTCCTTCTCCAGAAATCAGAATGCTGAGCTACCCTGCACTTTCATTAAGGAAAGCTACGTAAATGGACAGCCGTTTTTCATGTAGGAGGAAAGGAGACATGGGGTAAAGCACCATTTTCCACGCCCAGGTGCTACCAGGTAAGCAGAGGTGGAATCGCAGCCCAAATAGTATATTCAAATGTTAATTAATATTTGTAATGTATATGCTTTGTATATTTTATACGTTTGCGCAAGAGAGAGATTGTAAGGCTGATTAGGAGCCTCATTAGAGTCTAAAATCCTTACAAGGGAATCAGTTCCATTGAATTTATTGGGGCTTACACCTGGTAGAAATGTTATTATTTCTTTAAAATATTTTTACCCCGCCTGCTTTTTAGAGTCTAAAATCCTTACTAGGGATTCAGTTCCATTGAATGTATTGGGGCTTACTTCTGAGTAGAAATGTTATTATTTCTGTAAAATATTTTTACCCCGCCTTTCTCCTTAAAAAAGGGTCCATTAAAAGCACGACATTAAATACTAAAACAGTAAACTATCCCAATATTGAAGAAGAATTAATAATAGTGTATTAAAAGGTTAGGTTAAAGCATTACAGGGGGGAAAAAACAGATTTAGAAGCAACAACTTATAAGCCACCCCATTTATTGTCTTGTAGACAACCTGTCACTAAGGAAAAACCTTCCTGAAGAGAAAGTTATTGCTTGCAGAAGGAGAGCAAAGCAAGGGCCAGCCCTGGTCTCCAGTGGGAGGGAGTTCCAGAGTCTGTATAGACTTGTGCTCTAAGGTTAGGGTCCTCTACATACTTTCCCATTGGGCAGGCATGCTTAACACAGTATCAGGACTCTAATCAAATTATTGATAAGCTCTAGAAGATTATGATGATGGGTTTGATGGTAATTTTCATCATTTGCATTCCTTGGACAAAACAGACAGGGTACGAGTGTGGCAGAAATGCAGTAGTAAGCCCCAGATAGAGTAGGCCTGTTGACAAAATGGAATTTACTAAGAAGTAGACTCACCAAATCGCCACTGATTCAAGCTGTGGCTTATTCCTGGATTTCAGACCCTGTGTGCTTCCTTGGAAGGGAGTCCAACTGAGCTCCATGGATGGCACTCTCTACTAAGGGTGTCCAACTTTGGGAGGGTCACCTTGAGGTCCTCCAGATGTTCTGGAATCCCAGAATCCACTCCCAGCATCCTTTAACATTGTCTGTGCTGCCTATGGCTGCTGGGAGCTGCCAGCCATCAACATCTGGAGGTCTACAACTGCCCACCCTTGGGTTATTCACCTTGGGTGCCCAGATGTGCTCTGACTAAAACTCCCAGAAGCCTTCGCCATGAGCTGGAGACGAGCGAAGATGTTTTCACTCTCTGAAGCTCAAAAACCTGCCTTTCCCCTACTTCTGAAACCACTGGTCGTTTTGGACTTCTATATTTCTTTTGGGTTTGCCTGATAACGCAGCACAGACCGTCACTGTCTTCTAAAAATGCCATTATTACTATTGTTAGGAGACGGTGATGCTTACATTACGATACTGTATATAAGGCTTTGTGTCAAGAATGCTAATGGCAAAAAGTCGCTTCTCAACATGAACGGGCAGAGGTTTCCAGTGATACCAATAAGAGGTGACATCTTTCCATAACAATAAATGTGATAGACGGCGGCTTTAACAATGACGCCGACCAGACGCTTTGATACTAGACAGTGCTCAATCGTGAACGTGATAGAGACGGAGGGAGAGACTTCCAGGGCCGAGTTCTGGAGCCGCCCTTTCCATTCTGCCTCCCTTGCCATCCAAAGAGTGCCCCAGGTTTTCCTCGGATATTAAAAGGATCGTAAGCGTCACTGGGCTGGTCCAGTCCGACCTTAGCTTACCCAAAGCCCTCATGCCCCACCCCCGCCTCCAACGATGTTGAATTTCCTTCTCAGTTTGCCGTCGGACCAAAGAACCCAGACAAGAAGAGTGGGGGTGGGGAATCGCCTCCGGTTGCCATCTCCTCCCCTTTCGCTCTTTCTCCCTCCCCGTTCTCTCCCTTTCCCTACGAGTTCCCTCCTTCTCTCCTTCCCTCCCTCCTTCCTTCCCTCCTTTAAGGACGCCCAACAATTTCCAAAACAAAAGGCGGCGTCATTTGGCTGCACCAGGATCGCCCGGGTGTCCTGCCTTGCCGGGCTCCTTCGAACCGGGCATCAACGAGGTTTCTCCTTGGAAATTGCCAAAAACGACGGGTGCGCTTTTCTCCTCTTTGAAAATGTTCTGAGCCACTCTCTTCTCCCTTCCTAGCCGTTTTCTTGGCGACCCACTGGGAATTTCTGGATGGATCCGGGCAACCGGGAGGCCCCGCGTCTCTCTTTAGGATGAGGCGCAAACCGAGACGAGGCGGGCGCTTCTCTGCCCAGGAAGCCGGCGCTTCAGCCCCGATTTGGAGAGGGCGAGAGCCTTGTTGAGCGGCGAAGCCAAGAGAGGAGGAATCGCCTCCTGGGGGTCGGTTCGAACCCAGTCGGGCGGGCCATGGCGCTGAGTTCGAGAGCCCACGCTTTCTCCGTGGACGTGTTAGTGGGCAATTCCGCCAAGCGTAAAATGCTGGATATGGAAAAAGAGGAGAGCGCGTTTCCCGAGAAGGAGATGGAGAAGGCTGCGGTCAGGAAAAGCCAGGCGTTTGGTAAGCCCTTCCTCTTGCCCTACCCCCTTTGGCCTCCTCTCCTTTCTGCCCGATAAAATGCTTAGCCAGGCAGTTTCACCGTCCGGGCAACGCGCAAGCTTTGGGAGCCACACAGAACGCTTCCACGCAGCCCCAAAGCCCGGGGGCATTGTTCCTGGTGGGTGGGTGGGTGTTTCATTCCCCTTGGGACGCCTGACGCTCACACGTCAGAGAGGGCAGTGGCGCGCAGTGGAAAACCTGTGCATATTTTTTTATGGAAGCAAGTGGTGCATAATTCGGGGAGAGGGGGCTCCCCCAGGAAGGGTGCAACAGCTGGATCCCATCCCTGGATTGAGTCGGAAGTAAATCCCGTTTGGAAATAAACCCATAAATCGTCTTCCCGTGCGCTTGCGTACATGTAAGGCCCATTAAGTGACTGTACGTGGCTGAAACCTTTATTTCGGACTCTCGAGAGTGAAAGCTGAGTGGATTCGTTCTCTCCCTGCGGAGCCAGAATTTGGTAGTTCGATTCCCCACGGTGCCTCCTTGACAGGGGCTGGACTTGATAATCCATAGGGTCCCTTCCAGTTCTCAGAGTACTAGTACTAGTACTAGTACTGTATTCTTCAAAAATACCAGACACAGGCAATCAAAATGATAAAAATATTGACTGGTTGTTGTTGTAGTTGTTGTTATCATCATCATCATCATCCGCGTATTGACTCCGGAATCAGTTCTACCTTGCTTTTAAAAACGCAGCCTTAAGACAAGGCTGGCGGGCGAAGCATTCATCCCTTGAGGTGGATGTTGCCAGCCTCAAGAAGAATTCTGTGTAACTCCCAAAGCTTGCTCCCTTCTTCTCTTTCGAGACCGGTTTCTTGCATGAAATAGCCAGGGGTTCACTTGCTGGGTTCAAGAAGCCAAGAAATGCTCCCAGAAATAAAAGCCAGTTGAGTTGAGCCTTCGAGAATGCAGCTGAGTTGACTTTTGAGAAGTCCGGGCGCGCGATCCCAGGCCCATTTCTGTTCTCTTCTGGACAAGAACACGATTTAAGCCACCAGTCCTCTTCTGGGCTGCATCGGTTCCAAATGAGATCCGTTTGAGTGGAAACAGAATGCGAGGGGTGGTGAGAATCGGGCTTGAAACCATTTCTCTTCTGTTCCTCGAATAGAAGC